GTTCATTGTTCATCATCAGATCTACACAACTCCCAACGTATCAGAACCTTCTACACGGGTGAAGGGATCATATATTCGGCAGCGTCCAAGCTTTGGTGATCTGACCACAGAAAGCTCTATTGTAACACCGAAAAATCAAACTCCAAAAGATCATTAATGTCCCCTCGAGGTTGTGAGGAACCCCTGTATGGCAGAGGTCCGGAGATGGGAGGCCGGTCACATCTTCATGAAGGACCTTTCTAGAGATCTCCATCACCCAATAGGTGTCACCAGAACCTTGTGCCCCCCATTACTACAGACTCGTCCGTTCCTCAGGAATCGGGGTCACCTATAGAGAATGGAAATACCCCCCACAGATCCTCATTACACCTTGGACGGGGGGGGGGGGGGGGGCCGGGGCTCGGCTGGCTGCACTCGGAGGTTCCTGCCGCTACCAACAATAACATAACATTGTCTTATCTCTTCTATTCCCGGCGAGGACAATGTGGGCCCTTCTGTGGAACACGTATAACAAACATGTTATAATGAGGAAAACATGAAGATAAAGAGACCAGAACGAGGAGAACCAATCACGGCCATCTCACCGAGAGGACAAGGAGGAAGTCTGCTCATCTCTTCAATGGAAGACACAGACGATGACCCTCATGGCTGAGCGATAGGACAACAACGCAGGGAGCCGCCAATCATTTCCTCCTGCCCGTAATGCACAAAGGCGGCACCCAGATGTCCCGCGCCGGCCTCCTCCAGGTACATGCAGCATATGCTGTCAGCCAACTCATCATGGCCTCTATCAGACACAAGCCCGGCCTGACCCACACAGCAACTGCCTATATAAGTTGCCCCCTCGCCCTGCGATTGCCTCGACATGCCGGGACGTAGAATCGGGCCTGGTTATGGTTCACCCAACGGCACTGCCCCAGAATACATGGAAGGAGGCCTCAGGCCACAAGTCTGGCAAGATGGCGCAGGCGGTGTTATTTGTGGAGGATGAGGTGCCGTCTTTGGAAGAACCCAGCAAGAGAACAGCCGGGTCCGGAGGCCCTTCTACAGAAATTCAAGTTGACCTTACATGAAGCGCTAGATTGGGTCTCCAAGCAGAGAACTATTGATGAAGGAGATCGGGGACATTGCAACACGCACCTCCACCCTAGAACACCGCGGTAACCGGAGGTCTGTAGGGGTGGTCCTGGTGAGAGATCTGTGGGGGTGGTCCTGGTGAGAGATCTGTGGGGGTGGTCCTGGTGAGAGATCTGTGGGGGTGGTCTGTAGGGGTGGTCCTGGTGAGAGATCTGTGGGGGTGGTCCTGGTGAGAGATCTGTGGGGGTGGTCAGAGGAGCGGCGTTGGGTTCGGCACAGAGGAGCGGCGTTGGGTTCGGCACAGAGGAGCGGCGTTGGGTTCGGCACAGAGGAGCGGCGTTGGGTTCGGCACAGAGGAGCGGCGTTGGGTTCGGCACAGAGGAGCGGCGTTGGGTTCGGCACAGAGGAGCGGCGTTGGGTTCGGCACAGAGGAGCGGCGTTGGGTTCGGCACAGAGGAGCGGCGTTGGGTTCGGCACAGAGGAGCGGCGTTGGGTTCGGCACAGAGGAGCGGCGTTGGGTTCGGCACAGAGGAGCGGCGTTGGGTTCGGCACAGAGGAGCGGCGTTGGGTTCGGCACAGAGGAGCGGCGTTGGGTTCGGCACAGAGGAGCGGCGTTGGGTTCGGCACAGAGGAGCGGCGTTGGGTTCGGCACAGAGGAGCGGCGTTGGGTTCGGCACAGAGGAGCGGCGTTGGGTTCGGCACAGAGGAGCGGCGTTGGGTTCGGCACAGAGGAGCGGCGTTGGGTTCGGCACAGAGGAGCGGCGTTGGGTTCGGCACAGAGGAGCGGCGTTGGGTTCGGCACAGAGGAGCGGCGTTGGGTTCGGCACAGAGGAGCGGCGTTGGGTTCGGCACAGAGGAGCGGCGTTGGGTTCGGCACAGAGGAGCGGCGTTGGGTTCGGCACAGAGGAGCGGCGTTGGGTTCGGCACAGAGGAGCGGCGTTGGGTTCGGCACAGAGGAGCGGCGTTGGGTTCGGCACAGAGGAGCGGCGTTGGGTTCGGCACAGAGGAGCGGCGTTGGGTTCGGCACAGAGGAGCGGCGTTGGGTTCGGCACAGAGGAGCGGCGTTGGGTTCGGCACAGAGGAGCGGCGTTGGGTTCGGCACAGAGGAGCGGCGTTGGGTTCGGCACAGAGGAGCGGCGTTGGGTTCGGCACAGAGGAGCGGCGTTGGGTTCGGCACAGAGGAGCGGCGTTGGGTTCGGCACAGAGGAGCGGCGTTGGGTTCGGCACAGAGGAGCGGCGTTGGGTTCGGCACAGAGGAGCGGCGTTGGGTTCGGCACAGAGGAGCGGCGTTGGGTTCGGCACAGAGGAGCGGCGTTGGGTTCGGCACAGAGGAGCGGCGTTGGGTTCGGCACAGAGGAGCGGCGTTGGGTTCGGCACAGAGGAGCGGCGTTGGGTTCGGCACAGAGGAGCGGCGTTGGGTTCGGCACAGAGGAGCGGCGTTGGGTTCGGCACAGAGGAGCGGCGTTGGGTTCGGCACAGAGGAGCGGCGTTGGGTTCGGCACAGAGGAGCGGCGTTGGGTTCGGCACAGAGGAGCGGCGTTGGGTTCGGCACAGAGGAGCGGCGTTGGGTTCGGCACAGAGGAGCGGCGTTGGGTTCGGCACAGAGGAGCGGCGTTGGGTTCGGCACAGAGGAGCGGCGTTGGGTTCGGCACAGAGGAGCGGCGTTGGGTTCGGCACAGAGGAGCGGCGTTGGGTTTGGCACAGAGGAGCGGCGTTGGGTTTGGCACAGAGGAGCGGCGTTGGGTTTGGCACAGATGGTCTTCTCCATGGACTCACCTCCTTAGGTCTCTCGGCTGAGATGGTGAATGGTGGAGGGGAATAGGACGACACTGGATAGGGAGTAGTCCATAATTAAGTCATACAGGGTCCAGTCACACCTCTCCATCACACGGCACGCGCCTGGTGCTGCCGTCTCTCCGGGACTCTACGTGTGACATACGTGTGTGCAGCGCCTTCTGTCTCTTTATGATGTTCTATTAGAGTGTCACCGCTCTATGAACCATGCTCATCCTTCCTGACACCGAGGCCGCCTCCTGACACCGGGGCCGACTTCGCCCACCAGGACCAACTCCTGACACCGGGGCCGACTCCTGACACCGGGGCCGACTCCTGACACCGGGGCCGACTCCTGACACCGGGACCGACTCCTGACACCGGGACCGACTCCTGACACCGGGAACGTCTGCTAATATCTCTCTAGGCCTGGGACTGTCTATTGTCTGTGTTAACTGCCTTCCTCTCAGGATGTCTCTCTCTCTCTCAGTCCCTCTGTCAGTGTCCTCCTCCTTCTCAGTCTCTCTGTCAGTGTCTCTCGCTCTCTCAGTCCCTCTGTCAGTGTCCTCCTCCTTCTCAGTCTCTCTGTCAGTGTCTCTCTCTCTCTCAGTCCCTCTGTCAGTGTGTCTCTCTCTCTCAGTCCCTCTGTCAGTGTCTCTCTCTCACACAGTCCCTCTCTCTCTCACAGTCCCTCTGTCAGTGTCTCTCTCTCTCTCAGTCCCTCTGTCAGTGTGTCTCTCTCCCAATCCCCTCCGTGGCCCTTGGTGTACTCTCTCACAGTCCCTCTGTCAGTGTCTCTCTCTCTCAGTCCCTCTGTCAGTGTCTCTCTCTCACACAGTCCCTCTCTCTCACAGTCCCTCTGTCAGTGTCTCTCTCACAGTCCCTCTGTCAGTGTCTCTCTCACAGTCCCTCCGTCAGTGTCTCTCTCACAGTCCCTCTGTCAGTGTCTCTCTCATTCCCTCTGTCAGTGTCTCTCTCTCTCAGTCCCTCTGCCAGTGTCTCTCTCTCTCAGTGCCTCTGTCAGTGTCCTCCTCCCCCTCTCAGTGTCTCCGCTTCTCAGTCCCTCCCTCTGTCAGTGTCCTTCTCCTCCTCTCAGTCCCATTGTCCCTGTCTGTCTCATCTCGGTGCACCCCTCTTTTAGTGTCCCCACTTCTTAGTGTTCTCCTCCCCCTCTCAGTGCACCCCTCTTTACCATTCCCTCTCTCAGTGTCGCCCCGTTTCGGCCCCCTTTCTCTCGGTGTCTCCCCGCCTCGCGTCGTCCGGTGGCTGCAGAACAGACACAATATTGTCCATCACACAGAGCACCATCGCTAAGCAACACAACTGTCTCCTTCCGCGCCGCCATACTGTGTGAGGTTCTCCGTTGGAAATGCGCAGACTTGGTCTTCAATAACATGGAGACCATGCTCAGAAGACAGAGCCGAGCAGCAGACAGCCGAAGCCGGTGTTCTGCCTCGGCTCAACGAAGACTCCGGAAGAAGCCGAATCTGTCCGTTTATTGCCGAAAAGGACAGGTTTCGTCCAGTAGGAAGAGCACGAGAAAGGGAGGGGCTTCTTCGGTTAGAGGGCGGGGTTGATAAGCTGAGGTAGTTGAGGAAGAAGCGGCGACAGAGCAATATTCTAATGAGGTGTGGGCGGGGCCAGCTGAAGCTAGAACTTCCGGGTTGTGCTGAGGCCTCTGCGAGCAGAGAGGTAATATAGATCTATGTACTGTATACAGGGAGGAGGAGTATATATAACTACGTGCATACACACTGTATACAGGGAGGAGGAGTATATATAACTATGTGCATACACACTGTATACAGGGAGGAGTATATATATATATCTATGTACTGTATACAGGGAGGAGTATATATAGATCTATGTACTGTATACAGGGAGGAGTATATATATCTATGTGCATACACACTGTATACAGGGAGGAGATATCTATGTACTGTATACAGGGAGGAGTATATATAGATCTATGTACTGTATACAGGGAGGAGTATATATATCTATGTGCATACACACTGTATACAGGGAGGAGATGTACTATATAGCCAAAAGTATTGGCCCCTCCCAATCATGTGATTCAGGTCCTCCAATCCCCTCCGTGGCCCTTGGTGTATAGGATGAGGCCCCTCCCCCTCCGTGGCCCCCGGTGTGTAGGACAAGGCACCTCGGCGTGCAGATGCTTCTACAGACATTGGTGAGAGAACGGGTCGCTCTCAGGAGCTTGGTGACTACAAGCGCGGTGCCGTGATAGGTTGTCACCTGCGCAATAAGTCCGTCCGTGACATTTCCCGGCTACTAAATATTCCGCCGCGGTCGCCTGTTACTGGGATTATAACAAAGTGGAAGCGACCGGGAACAACAGCAACTCAGCCAGGAAGTGGTCGGCCACGTCACATGACAGAGCGGGGTCAGCGCATGCTGTAGCCCACAGTGCGCAGAAGTCGAGCCATTAGAGGGCGGAGCCAACCCAATACTGAACCCTACGGCCTAAGACTGGGATGCCATTAGAGGGCGGAGCCAACCCAATACTGAACCCTACGGACTAAGACTGGGGGGCCATTAGAGGTCATGTGCGTGTAAAGGCGTCCCAATACTAATGGCAATATGGTGTATGTGTATATATACTGTATACAGGGAGGTGATATATGTAAATGTGGTGATGGGGCGGGCGATCTCCTGGGATGGGGCAAGTGATCTTGTGGGCGGGGCGGGCTTTCTATAATAATCGGCTAACTAATCGATTTTGAAAATAATCGTTAGCTGCAACTCTATATGGTTGGCTGGCCATGTCTTTATGACCAGCAGAAGAGCACACGTGTATGTATAGGGGGTGGGGCTTATACGATGAGCCAATCAGGGATCCCCGTCTCTATGTGGTGATGAGGGTCAAGGGGCCGAATCTCCCCAATGGAGCCCCTCCCCACCCAAAACTCACATCAGGTTTGGGTTCCTCGGAGGGGTCATGTGACTCTTCCTGGGGGGTGTCATGGTTTACCTTGTCTTCATCCTCCCTCTCCTAGGTGCCGTCTGCTCGCCATGATCGAAGTGGTGGCCAAGCTGGTCCGTGGTCCGGTCTTCCTGGCTGGTGAAGCTTTGGAGTGCATAGTGACTTTCACCAACCCGTTGTCGGCCCTCTCTACCTCCGCCAGCAGGTGGGTGATCATTGCTGCCCTTCCAGGGGGACGGAGGGGCTTATGTATCATGTTTAGTGGCTGCAGCTGTATGTATCAGAGGAGCTCCCCTCCCCCTCTCCTCCACCATTCTCAACGTCTGCTAGTGCTGGGCTTTCTCCTTAGAAAACTCTGCTTGCTTTACAGCCTGAGTGGCGCGTGTCCAGGCGGGCCGTGCCGTGTGTCCAGGCGGGCCGTGCCGTGTGTCCAGGCGGGCCGTGCCGTGTGTCCAGGCGGGCCGTGCCGTGTGTCCAGGCGGGCCGTGCCGTGTGTCCAGGCGGGCCGTGCCGTGTGTCCAGGCGGGCCGTGCCGTGTGTCCAGGCGGGCCGTGCCGTGTGTCCAGGCGGGCCGTGCCGTGTGTCCAGGCGGGCCGTGCCGTGTGTCCAGGCGGGCCGTGCCGTGTGTCCAGGCGGGCCGTGCCGTGTGTCCAGGCGGGCCGTGCCGTGTGTCCAGGCGGGCCGTGCCGTGTGTCCAGGCGGGCCGTGCCGTGTGTCCAGGCGGGCCGTGCCGTGTGTCCAGGCGGGCCGTGCCGTGTGTCCAGGCGGGCCGTGCCGTGTGTCCAGGCGGGCCGTGCCGTGTGTCCAGGCGGGCCGTGCCGTGTGTCCAGGCGGGCCGTGCCGTGTGTCCAGGCGGGCCGTGCCGTGTGTCCAGGCGGGCCGTGCCGTGTGTCCAGGCGGGCCGTGCCGTGTGTCCAGGCGGGCCGTGCCGTGTGTCCAGGCGGGCCGTGCCGTGTGTCCAGGCGGGCCGTGCCGTGTGTCCAGGCGGGCCGTGCCGTGTGTCCAGGCGGGCCGTGCCGTGTGTCCAGGCGGGCCGTGCCGTGTGTCCAGGCGGGCCGTGCCGTGTGTCCAGGCGGGCCGTGCCGTGTGTCCAGGCGGGCCGTGCCGTGTGTCCAGGCGGGCCGTGCCGTGTGTCCAGGCGGGCCGTGCCGTGTGTCCAGGCGGGCCGTGCCGTGTGTCCAGGCGGGCCGTGCCGTGTGTCCAGGCGGGCCGTGCCGTGTGTCCAGGCGGGCCGTGCCGTGTGTCCAGGCGGGCCGTGCCGTGTGTCCAGGCGGGCCGTGCCGTGTGTCCAGGCGGGCCGTGCCGTGTGTCCAGGCGGGCCGTGCCGTGTGTCCAGGCGGGCCGTGCCGTGTGTCCAGGCGGGCCGTGCCGTGTGTCCAGGCGGGCCGTGCCGTGTGTCCAGGCGGGCCGTGCCGTGTGTCCAGGCGGGCCGTGCCGTGTGTCCAGGCGGGCCGTGCCGTGTGTCCAGGCGGGCCGTGCCGTGTGTCCAGGCGGGCCGTGCCGTGTGTCCAGGCGGGCCGTGCCGTGTGTCCAGGCGGGCCGTGCCGTGTGTCCAGGCGGGCCGTGCCGTGTGTCCAGGCGGGCCGTGCCGTGTGTCCAGGCGGGCCGTGCCGTGTGTCCAGGCGGGCCGTGCCGTGTGTCCAGGCGGGCCGTGCCGTGTGTCCAGGCGGGCCGTGCCGTGTGTCCAGGCGGGCCGTGCCGTGTGTCCAGGCGGGCCGTGCCGTGTGTCCAGGCGGGCCGTGCCGTGTGTCCAGGCGGGCCGTGCCGTGTGTCCAGGCGGGCCGTGCCGTGTGTCCAGGCGGGCCGTGCCGTGTGTCCAGGCGGGCCGTGCCGTGTGTCCAGGCGGGCCGTGCCGTGTGTCCAGGCGGGCCGTGCCGTGTGTCCAGGCGGGCCGTGCCGTGTGTCCAGGCGGGCCGTGCCGTGTGTCCAGGCGGGCCGTGCCGTGTGTCCAGGCGGGCCGTGCCGTGTGTCCAGGCGGGCCGTGCCGTGTGTCCAGGCGGGCCGTGCCGTGTGTCCAGGCGGGCCGTGCCGTGTGTCCAGGCGGGGCCGTGTGTTCTGGCGGACCTGCACTGGGCAACATATCAGGTTCACTGTACAGCAGGGACATTGGATATCATATACTCGCCTTTGCTGCCCGACATTTGTGTAGACTCCTCCCACCCCCATGTGACATTTTTTAAGCCCAGTGATTGGTTGCTCGGGGACTTTGAGGACACATTAGGAATCGCATCTCCCCCTGTGTCTGGCAGAACTGTGCTACACGGGTGACCTGATGGCAGATGTGGGGCGAGGGGGGCTAAGTATAAGTCCTCCTATGAAGTGCTGATTGTATGTTGCAGTGAGACTCACGCCTGGGCCAGCACTCGCATCCGTTGCCTGTATATTGATTGTATGTTGCAGTGAGACTCACGCCTGGGCCAGCACTCACATCCGTTGCCTGTATATTGATTGTATGTTGCAGTGAGACTCACGCCTGGGCCAGCACTCACGTGCCGTGTGTCCAGGCGGGCCGTGCCGTGTGTCCAGGCGGGCCGTGCCGTGTGTCCAGGCGGGCCGTGCCGTGTGTCCAGGCGGGCCGTGCCGTGTGTCCAGGCGGGCCGTGCCGTGTGTCCAGGCGGGCCGTGCCGTGTGTCCAGGCGGGCCGTGCCGTGTGTCCAGGCGGGCCGTGCCGTGTGTCCAGGCGGGCCGTGCCGTGTGTCCAGGCGGGCCGTGCCGTGTGTCCAGGCGGGCCGTGCCGTGTGTCCAGGCGGGCCGTGCCGTGTGTCCAGGCGGGCCGTGCCGTGTGTCCAGGCGGGCCGTGCCGTGTGTCCAGGCGGGCCGTGCCGTGTGTCCAGGCGGGCCGTGCCGTGTGTCCAGGCGGGCCGTGCCGTGTGTCCAGGCGGGCCGTGCCGTGTGTCCAGGCGGGCCGTGCCGTGTGTCCAGGCGGGCCGTGCCGTGTGTCCAGGCGGGCCGTGCCGTGTGTCCAGGCGGGCCGTGCCGTGTGTCCAGGCGGGCCGTGCCGTGTGTCCAGGCGGGCCGTGCCGTGTGTCCAGGCGGGCCGTGCCGTGTGTCCAGGCGGGCCGTGCCGTGTGTCCAGGCGGGCCGTGCCGTGTGTCCAGGCGGGCCGTGCCGTGTGTCCAGGCGGGCCGTGCCGTGTGTCCAGGCGGGCCGTGCCGTGTGTCCAGGCAGTGCCGTGTGTTCTGGCGGACCTGCACTGGGCAACATATCAGGTTCACTGTACAGCAGGGACATTGGATATCATATACTCGCCTTTGCTGCCCGACATTTGTGTAGACTCCTCCCACCCCCATGTGACATTTTTTAAGCCCAGTGATTGGTTGCTCGGGGACTTTGAGGACACATTAGGAATCGCATCTCCCCCTGTGTCTGGCAGAACTGTGCTACACGGGTGACCTGATGGCAGATGTGGGGCGAGGGGGGCTAAGTATAAGTCCTCCTATGAAGTGCTGATTGTATGTTGCAGTGAGACTCACGCCTGGGCCAGCACTCGCATCCGTTGCCTGTATATTGATTGTATGTTGCAGTGAGACTCACGCCTGGGCCAGCACTCACATCCATTGCCTGTATATTGATTGTATGTTGCAGTGAGACTCACGCCTGGGCCAGCACTCACATCCATTGCCTGTATATTGATTGTATGTTGCAGTGAGACTCACGCCTGGGCCAGCACTCACATCCATTGCCTGTATATTGATTGTATGTTGCAGTGAGACGCTCGCCTGGGCCAGCGCTCAGATCCATTGCCAGTTTCATGCCAGTGACAGCAGAGTCCAGCTACCAGCCAGCGAGGAGCCCAGACAGGATGTCCAGGCTGAGAATGAAACTGTCTTCATCCCCAACAGAGGTAAGAACTTCCCGGGGGCCTCCGTAGTGTGAGCACTTCCCGGGGGCCTCCGTAGTGTGAGCACTTCCCGGGGGCCTCCGTAGCGTGAGCACTTCCCAGGGGCCTCCGTAGTGTGAGCACTTCCCGGGGGCCTCCGTAGCGTGAGCACTTCCCAGGGGCCTCCGTAGCGTGAGCACTTCCCGGGGGCCTCCGTAGTGTGAGCACTTCCCGGGGGCCTCCGTAGTGTGAGCACTTCCCGGGGGCCTCCGTAGCGTGAGCACTTCCCAGGGGCCTCCGTAGTGTGAGCACTTCCCGGGGGCCTCCGTAGCGTGAGCACTTCCCGGGGGCCTCCGTAGCGTGAGCACTTCCCGGGGGCCGCCGTAGCGTGAGCACTTCCCGGGGGCCTCCTAGAGTGAGCACTTCCCGGGGGCCCCGTAGTGTCTTCCTGTCCGTCCTGACACCCTTCTTATTGCTTTTCTCTTTTCAGGTGAGCGGGGCCAGTGTATCCTCTCCACACCACCCAAAATCCTGTTCTGTGACCTGCGCCTGGACCCCGGAGAGACCAAATCCTGTACGTGTTCCGCTCGGAGGGGAGGAGGAAGTCTTCATCGCTCATAATTCCTTCCTCCGGCCGATGATGACATTTGTTTTTCTTCCAGACTCCTATAGTGAGACTCTTCCTCTGTCAGCTCCGCCCTCCTTCCGGGGTCAGTCCGTCAAATACGTCTACAAGCTGACCATTGGCTGCCAGCGAGTCAACTGCCCCATCCAGCTTCTGCGAGTCCCGTTCCGGGTCCTGTTATTGTACGGTGAGAGGTCAGAGGTCACAGTGACGCCCAGTCCCCTCCCTACCCTCTGCCCGTCCTTATTCTATGCACTTCGTGTACATTGAGAGGTCAGAGGTCACAGTGACTCCCATTCCCCTCCCTACCAGTCCTTATTCTATGCACTTCATGTACATTGAGGGGGTCACAGTGACTCCCAGTCCCCTCCCTACCCTCTGCCCATCCTTATTCTATGCACTTCATGTACATTGAGAGGTCAGAGGTCACAGTGACGCCCAGTCCCCCCCTACCAGTCCTTATTCTATGCACTTCGTGTACATTCAGAGGTCACAGTGACTCCCAGTCCCCTCCCTACTCCCTGCCCGTCCTTATTCTATGCACTCTATGTACAATGAGAGGTCAGAGGTCACAGGGAGCTGAATGGATGTGGGGGGGGGGGGCACTCGCATAACGTGTATTATATCTTAAGGTGACACAATCCAACACATTAGGAAACAATGAAATGACAATACAATAGGCACCCCATGTGACCCTGGCGCATGTTCTGTGTGGCGTGCGTTGTGTGCAGGCGCGTGTTTGGTGTCTCGCTGATTGTCAGGAATGTCGCTTCATCGCGGCAGAAATGAGGAGATTTGTAGGAAACTTCCAGTGTATTTCCACTTTTGCAGCCGAGTTGGGATAGCGCCTCCCTGACATGCGTTACATGTTCCCAATCACATGACCTGAGAATGTCTCCTCCTCTATTACAAGAGGGTTTCTATCTGGTCTGCTCCCCACCCCCACCGCACACATAACATTTACATCTAGCCAGGTCTGTCACTGACTTTTGGAGAAATGAGGGTGGCGCAGTGTTTAGTACGGCTTTGCTGTTCTCTCCGCCACAAGGGGTCACAGTGACCGTGTCTTCCAGACCCCTCCCTTCCCTCTGACTGTCCTGACTCCATTCAGTTACTGTATGATGAGAGGTCAGGGGTCACAGTGACCGTGTCTTCCAGACCCCTCCCTTCCCTCTGACCTGATCACATTCAGTTACTGTATGATGAGAGGTCAGGGGTCACAGTGACCGTGTCTTCCAGCCCCCTCCCTTCCCTCTGACTGTCCTGACTCCATTCAGTTACTGTATGATGAGAGGTCAGGGGTCACAGTGACCGTGTCTTCCAGCCCCCTCCCTTCCCTCTGACTGTCCTGACTCCATTCAGTTACTGTATGATGAGAGGTCAGGGGTCACAGTGACCGTGTCTTCCAGCCCCCTCCCTTCCCTCTGACTGTCCTGACTCCATTCAGTTACTGTATGATGAGAGGTCAGGGGTCACAGTGACCGTGTCTTCCAGCCCCCTCCCTTCCCTCTGACTGTCCTGACTCCATTCAGTTACTGTATGATGAGAGGTCAGGGGTCACAGTGACCGTGTCTTCCAGCCCCCTCCCTTCCCTCTGACTGTCCTGACTCCATTCAGTTACTGTATGATGAGAGGTCAGGGGTCACAGTGACCGTGTCTTCCAGCCCCCTCCCTTCCCTCTGACCTGACTCCATTCAGTTACTGTATGATGAGAGGTCAGGGGTCAGAGGTCACCGTGTCTTCCAGCCCCCTCCCTTCCCTCTGACAGTCCTGACTCCAGTTACTGTATGATGAGAGGTCAGGGGTCACAGTGACCGTGTCTTCCAGCCCCTTCCCTCTGACTGTCCTGATTGGGGGGTCAGTGACAGTGAGAGGGGGGTCAGTGACAGTGAGGGGGGTCAGGGACAGGTAGGGGGTCAGTGACAGGTTGTCAGTGACAGGTAGGGGGTCAGTGACAGGTAGGGGGTCAGTGACATTGAGGGGGGGTCAGTGACAGTTGGGGGGACAGTGACAGTGAGAGGGGGGTCAGTGACAGGTAGGGGGTCAGTGACATTGAGGGGGGGTCAGTGACAGTGAGGGGGGTCAGACTCCATAGGAGGAATTTATCAAGACTGGAGCAGACAAAATTGGAGCAAATTTGCACGGCAACCAATCAGCTTCTCTCATTTTCAAACCTTACCTGGGCAAACTGAAGAGAGATGCTGTTTGGTTGCCATGGGCAACTGCTCCAGATTCTGTCTGCTCCAGTTTTAATAATTCCCCCCCCATGTATCTGTAGTGACAGGTCTCCTTTAACACCCGGAGCCAGGAAAGGTTGTGTAGATATTGGATGATCGGAGGGTTGCTTCGTGTGCATTTATTTGGAGGTTGTGATCGTCGGTCTCGTCTTGTGATCGTCGGTCTCGTTTTCTGATCGTCGGTCTCGTCTTGTGATCGTCGGTCTCGTTTTCTGATCGGTCTCGTTTTCAGCCCTCCAGGGTTTCCAGCCGCTGCAAGAGGACGAGGTGGCTCCTTCTAATCCCTTCCTGGACGATGATGAAATCTCTAAGAAGGACTCGCATCTCCTGGACTCCGCTGTGGAGATTCTCATGGCTGTGACATCACGGAGGACATTACGTAAGTATCTGGTGATGTCATCAATCCCCCGGGCCTGACCTATCACGTGAAGCCTTGAGACAATGATCGGACTCTCATGGACGGTCTATGGAGGGAATGATCGGACTCTCATGGAGGGTCTATGGAGGGAATGATCGGACTCTCATGGACGGTCTATGGAGGGAATGATCGGACTCTCATGGACGGTCTATGGA